GGCTCTTTCAAACCCAACATAGTCGGTGCATTTCGAATTTCACTAGACACACAGTAGACATTCCATCGATATTGATCGTTAATGTCCGGTCAACTGACTTCAGGGTTATCTTGAATATTTTAGAACCCTCCACGGATACGAGACTGGACGGCGTCGAATAAGGAAGGAAGGCTACTTTCGTTTCCGCTACTGACTTGGATGTCTTCTTCATTTTTCCATCCCGATAGTTCTTGCAGGCTTATTTTTTATTTAGAACGCGTTCTTTGAAAGCAAATGCAATTTCCAATATTTATAGAAATTAATAAAAGATGCTGTTACATTAATCAAATATTATAATGTTATATTTTTATGTGTTCTCGAAAAACATTACGATATATATAATAAGTGGCGTTTATTTAAATGCATCTGATATCTTTTTAAAAAAAAAATTATTTTTCTCCATTCCTACAAAAAAACAGCGATATTTTTCATTTTTAAATTCATATTCTTATAGATCTTTCAAAAAAAGGGTTGGTACGATCGATTACGAAGAATTTTCTATTTGCAATTTCCACATATTCGATCGCGACGAAACGTTCGTCGTATAATGGTTTCATTTTCCATTTGTACCTCGCCTACTAACGCTGCAATATCTCTCCGCCCGCCGCGCTTTAATAATATTACGCATTGTTGCGAGGGCGGTATGCATGCTTGTAAATTCGCCACGGTTTTCCGCCAATTTCGCGGCTGCAAGCCAGACGTACTCCTCTCCCTTCTTTGCCGCAAAATCGCCATGGGGTACTCCAGTATTTCAATTATAGACGTGAATATTTTTTTCTCGTGCGACGTTTGATTTACACACATGAAACTTTTACTCGCAACGGAAAGGTGGCAAGCAATATTTTTTTAACGAATTTTGGGAATATACGAAATAGAATTGACATTGAAAGAACAAAAATAGACGAGGAGTTTTACAATAAATAATAAAACATTTTTCTGAACACGATATTCGAACTATTTTGAGTACAACGTGATGTTTGAATATAATTTTTAACGCTACGCAGTAGATAGATATGTGTAATTCTAAATTGTAAACCGTCATTGTACCTAAAATTATCACAAGATACTAAAAATCAAAATCTGCCTGAATCGTGCACACATGAAACGACAGGACCTCTCGTTGGTTTCTGTACAGAGTAAATCTGCTGTTGGGCACCAAATAAGGATAGCGTCGCATTGATGCAGTCGGGTGGGAAGGCTGCAAAAGGGTGACTAAAGAAACTGACGGTGAGAGGAGAAAGAGAATGAGGGAGGAAGAGAAAGAGAGAGGAAAGGTTTCGGGCTCTCGAGTCATTTCTCTGAGCCAACACAGACCTCTCAACTCGACGCCACTCGTGGAAACGAAATCTGATACGAGAAAAGCTAAACTCCTTCAAATGCACAAGCCGTTCTCTATTCGTCCCCTATCTACCTTCTCTCCCGCCTACACCACTGCTTCCCTCTTCGTCTCTTTACTCCCTTCTCCTCTTATTCGGAGTTTTCAACCCCCTGAGCGTCCTTCTCGTTCCGCCGCTTCTTTCGACTCTTGCTCCTTTCAGCTACCCACTTATACTCAGTCAACCCTTTTCATTGCGAAAACGACGTTCTGCAATTCACCTTTCCTCTTCCTTCCTGTCCTTCCTTTTCCTTCCTTCCCATTCCACCCCTCCTTCTCTCTCCATCTTCCTTCCCTCTTTCTTTTTCCATCTCCTTTCCTTCTTTTTAATGCGTTGTTCAAGGACGTTCCACTTTCTTGTTTGCATTCTCTTTTCTCTCTTTTTTTTTTACATTAGAGAAACCTCTTTCTCCAAGTTTCTTTTCTATCACTCCATTCTCGATTGAGCATTGCCATCTCGCGCTCTTTCTCGAAGAGTAACTGCTTGACTTCCGGCTATTTAATCCCCTTAATTAACAGCCAGCATAAGAGTCTCAGATTTGAACTCTTTCATGGCACGCGACCTTCGAGTGGAGCCCGTCGCGTTTTACTTTCGTGAGTAGATCGACAAGGAGTATTTTACTTAATGTACAAAAACATCGAGTAAACTAAACAGGAGGGGAGGGGTAAGATAATAAATAATTATTTCCAACATTATTCTTTATACATCTTTATATATCATCTTTTTCTTATTTCCTTCTCATTATATTCTAAGATTTAAATTTAACAATAATACTGTGTTTTTTATGTATGTACAATATTGTACTTAGAACTTACAATTAGTATTTTATATTATATTGCTAATGTGTGTTAAGGAAAACATCTGTTAGGAAAAATTTTAATGATATATAACCGCAATTAGTTTTTGTAAGAAACAAAAAAGAAATTTATAAAAAAATGCATTATAAAAACGTTACGATATTATGCGATAAAAGTAATGTACTGTCAGTTTCTGACATATTTTAATGCTGTGTAGTACAACTATTGTGCATTTATAGCAATTGTATTGTAATCACAATAGTTAAAAGTAAAAAAGTGTCTATTCTTTTAAGGATAAAAAAAATAAAAAACGAGCTTAACCTGTTTATTATTTTGCTCTATATATACAAATTTATGTGAATCGCATTTTTGTTCTTATTGTTATTCCTTTTATTAGAAAGATAAAATTTTACTTTGTTTTTTTTTCAACTATTTATACTTTTATGAGCTATTACTCATAAAAGTACATATAAGTTATATAATGTGTATGTGTGTTTTCAATGTATTGACTCGGGTATATGTGGGTTCACTAAACCTGACTGCAGAAGAAAAGATATCTGAAGCGATGCCAAGATGATGCTGCCGCCGCACGATGTATAAGAAAAGCTCGTTGTTTCTCTTCGCTCGATAGGTCAATAAAACTTTTTTTCGTAAACATATTTTAGAATGATAACTTTAAATTATTCGCACGTTCAAGCTATACATGCGCAAGAAATGGATTTAATATGTGAGATATCTGGAAATTCAGATACGCATTCATATTACAAGAGCTTTAATTTCTAAATCAATGATTTATTATTTCCATAATTAATAAAACATTCTATTAATTTAATATTAAAAACTTTTTTATTTAAAAAAAAAAACGACACAAATGCTGAGTCATAATAATTATTTTATGTGAAATATAATAATCAAGCTCTAATTATAATTACTATTACGTGCTGCAAAGTAATAAAATTTGCTATATAAAAAAATGTATTATTAAAGTAATAATAAAAAGATCATGCTCACGGTAGATTTAAATAAATTACATGGACAGTCCTTTAGAAAGTATAATATGTACAATTTACATAAATACATACATAATTAAAGGAACTGCTGCGCACTGTTGAATTCATGTTGCTAATAGAAAGAAGATTTTCATAGATTTAATATATAATGAAACGTATGTAATTGATGCAATTTATTGCGGTTCAGCCACATTTAACATATCGAGTATTATTAACAATCCGCACGCGGCTTTGCAGAGATCGTCACACATTCAACACGCCCTTTCGCTCTTTCGATCGATAGTAATTATTCTCGTAAATTCAGGCATAAGCACACGTATATGAGAGTTACAGGCTGAAAGCGGGGAGGATAGAAGGGTAGAATTGCCAGGCCTGCTCGGTTAAATGCTCATAATGACGTCTTGTAATTGCATCGAAAGTTTCCAGGGAAACTGTAATTATCGTGCGGGCTCACTTCCAACGATATCTTTGGCCCCCGGTCGTCTGTAATCGACGGACGCCAAACCTAAAGAAAGGGAAGCTGCTTTTCTGACGGAATATTTTTCCAAGCGGACGAGGACGACGTTATCTCGAATCGAAAAGAGGATCGAGAGCTTCATAATGGAGCCTGCCAGCTTCGGATATTCGAAAAAGAGAGAAGCTTAAAAATGCGTCATTTAAAATTTTCTCTAATCCTTACTACAGTTAAATCAATTAGCGTTGACGAGAGAAGATTGTTCAAATTTCCTCATTTGTATACACTATGGTCCTTCTAGTCTATTTAAAAATCGCCATTTTTAATACCAGATTTTATTAAGCTGCAGCACTCATTTTGCAGTTGATATCGTGCATAAATTGTCTAGCTTTACAAATTATTACTAGCGCTTAATAGCATTTTAATGATAAATGATGATCATTTATAAATATGCAATTTTTCATTCATTTGCTTACGAGTCTTTTTTCTTATAATTTTAATGGTTTGTTTTTATCGCTTTAATAGAAACTAATATAGAAACTAAAAGGGATAATAATTATAGATATGTTAATTTAATTTTACATTTTGTTATGTAATGAAGATTCCAGAGAGTCGTATTCTTGACTTCCAATTTTAATATTGAAGCAATTACATTATTTTATTCTAAATTAACAAAAGAGTAGATTGCTTGAAAAACATGATGCTAGTAGTATAAATAGATGTTGTTTGCGACAGACCGTTCACTTGTATTGATGATTACTCGAAGATTCATCGAGCCGCCACAATGATTTGAATAATTTATTCGAACGATCAACTGTATTAATATTCATTATTCGGTCAATCATCGGCACTCGGATAATTATCTGCGTAAACGTTCATTATTCAGCTAAGCGAATGCGTCTGGCAATTGATTCGGTACTCGGCATACGTTGAAGCTATCTAAACATTTCTATCGTCAATAATATTGATACATGCAGCAACAACCATGATTTGTGATCAGAGGTGACTAAACTTGCGTTCGGTTTGAAAGATAATCATCGTGAAACTAACGCGCGTATTCGTAATACAGACACTGTAATACGTATCGTAATTACGTTTTATTTATTATATTCACTCATATCGCAAAATAATCGGTTCTTTCTTCGTATTAAATTTATATTTGTAATTGATTTGCTACACATCAGTTTTAATAGATAAAAATTTATTATAAATTTTATTGAATCAATTTCACTTTTCAAGTAAATTTTTAACAAACTCACGTGCATGTTTTATATACATATTTATAGTAATCAAATATTACATTAATTATTTGTCATTTACTTACCCCACTGAAGGTTTTGACGTTATGAAGAGCGTTCTGCGCTGCCAAAGCCGCTTTTCTAGTGTAGAAGGTTACAAAGCAACATCCTGTAACAAAAAATTTATAATTTTGATTAGATGAGTACTTAGTAAAAATTTTTAATTGTAATTTATCATCTTACTACATAAAAATGTTAGTAGCATACTTTTACAATTAAACTTTTATTCGAAGATTTATTATTATATAGTGCTCTCTTTTGTCTGTCAGTTTATTTAATAAAGAAAAATGTATTTAAATAAATTATTGACAGATCAATTTATGAAAACTTTCGTTTACATTGCGACTAAATTAACGCAAATTTTCACAATGTGTCGCAAAAGAAAGGAGATAACAATATTATGAAATCTCAACGCTACTTTCTGGCAGTAAGCGAATGAAAAGTTCCGCACTTTGGGTCATCATATCCGATATGGCTACCAACAAGAAGCTATGATAGACATAAATGGTCGCAGAGTTCGTGCAAGCGGTGACAGGTTCGATATGGAAGAACTGATCGGAGGGGAAAGAGTGAAGTCGATTCTAGGGGACCTCATCAAGGACCTTCCGTATCACTCGGTTGTCGAGGCTGGACACCATCCAAGCTTCCGCCGATCGATAGTTACGAGTTGCCAAAAGTTCGATACACCGTTCTATCGCAAATGATCTCCGCCTCTTTCTCTACTAGCACTGACTACTCGATATTCGTCCTTCTTTGGTATCTTTAAGTAATTCTGATGAAATGAATCATTAGTTTATCTATGGACAAAGTAAAAATTCTACATCGAATAGAAATCAAAAGATAGATAATATAATTAAACGTTATGTAACGTATCAATAATACATAAATATATAATCATTAGGTTTCATAAAATCAATAAAGAAATCAAGGATTTATATAACAGAAATATCTCGCACTAAAGAATTTTACTACTAGAACCGTGTGAAATAAAAATGTTTTGAAACCAAGATTTGTCAGTTTATTTTGTTTCAGTTTTAAAAATTTGTGGAAATAAAAAGCTGTCGAACTATAAACAAATATACGTATTGTAATTCGATAATAAAGATAGTAAAATTTATATCAATTTCAATTTTATTATGGATTGTAGATAGAATTAAATTAAAAATCTGCAAAAGTATAATCTGCGAAGATTCTTAAAACTAAAAACATCTAAAATTTTCTCACAATCAGTAATTGTCAACACAGAAGTTTCGTAAGACAGTAAATGATGTAATTGGATTTTTTAAACATATTAAAATGTACCTGAGACTCTCTTTTTGTAACGTACGTAGTAAATATTAAGGCTAGTTAAGGTATCGCAAAGTTAATGGCATCGCAAGTTAATAACTGTCACGTTCAATTAACAGGTTTCCTATTTACGATGTATACGAAATTATGATAAACCTGCAACACGGCACTGAGCACAGAGGGTGTAATTATAATGCGATCGCGGTAATAGTTTCGGTAACAAGCCTTCCAATTACTCGAGGAAATCCCGATATTCCGCAATGTTTTGTTTGGTAACGTGATATTCAATATCGCATTGAATAACGCATGGTACCGCGTTGAATGCATAATTGCGAATCGTGCAACCCGATACATAGCGGGATGGTCTGGAATGTTAGAACCAACGTATTAAGTTTGTCTAATCAAAAAAGGAGTTTTGCTTCTCAAGCACAGTTGCATATAATATTTCATTTTAAACCCCATGTAACTCGATCGAGATATTCAGAGCAAATCTTTGCTAAGGGAAATAATTAGCGGAATCATTTTCAAAAGAATGAAAGAAGATAAAGAATAAAAATAAATGGAAATAAATATCAAATATTATACAATGAAATTAATTTTTGTATACCTCGTACTTGATAATATAAATTAATCAATTAGATATTCGTGGTAAACATTAAATAAATTGACAAGAATTATAACCTTTTATTTCATTAAAGGTATAATATAGGGATTTTCAGATACCGAGGTCGTTTTATTTCAAATAAAGTTTTTCGCGTGCGTTTCATGCACGCAAGCGAAGGAAGTGACATTCTTAACATGTTACCAGCAAGCTTCCGTAAATTACAGCATGAAGACGCAGCCGGGAGCCGGGAAATTATGTTCCGGCGAGTAAGTAATCTTAAGGCATCATCGCTTCATAGACCTTTAAATCACCGCCTGCAAACTGCCCCCACGCATCCTTTCGCCGTCCATCGACCGGGCCGTTGTATAATACCTGTGTCTACAAATGACCTCGTTCGTCAAGGTGCTAACGTCAATCCACGTCTGTGCTTCCACGTTATCATTGGCGAGTTATTTCATCCCTTTTCGCAATCGATTTGGAAAATATATGTAGATGTCATTCGATTATTAAAACTATCAATCATATCGGGAAATGTGATAAAGCGCGCGCACTCATAATTTATTTAAACTGTGACCATATTCATGAATATTATTTTATAATTATTAACAATTTCTAATTGTATTTCATAATTTTTTAAAAATTACATTAAAGTCATAATTTGTAATTATTTCAGAATTTTAGCTTTAAAATTGATTGTTACAATGATAACTATATTAGATAAGAAAAGCTAATATTTTCGATTGGTAATTAATAAATAAAATTATAGCAACGTGCAAAATAAAAATAAAATAATTTCAATAATTTGCCGGAGCCAATGCACGCGTGAAACACAACGTAATTGTCGCAATTATTCCACACGCGTCGTATGCGAATTGAGATTAATAATTAATAAGTAAATTATTAAGCCACGGTAGCGCGCCCGCGGTATTCCCAAGTGTATCCGTAACATAGTCCGAATGGCGATAGTTTCTACGACCGTGTCGAGTCGCAAACCAGTGTAATTTCCTGAATTAGTTTAAACGGCATGTTTTATTCAAAGTAACAGTTTTGTCCGGTCATTTTGCAGAACGAGACTTTGTCAAAGTAAGTAAGTGACATTGTTAAATCGAAAACATTATTTTAATATCTCGTAATAATACATAATAAATAACAGCGAAAGGATATTCGTAGCGCACTTTTATCAGACATTTTTATAAGGACTTTTTATCGTACTGACATGACTAGTTTGTAATATATCGCCACTTTTAAGAATTAATGAGACTATTCACTATGCACTCTCCAATTGCAGAAAGCTTACTCGTATAATTATCAGAAAATATAATAAAACTGAGGAGAAAATTAAACCTCGGAACTGGGTCGTAAACAAAATATACGATACCACATATGTAATACGAAATATGCGATATGAATAGCCGCACGTTTACTATCAACCACGTATGCGCAAATCGATGAGAATTATTCATAGGGTTGAACAAAATGATCATTGTTATAGGAGATTTAATGCTAATACCAACACGATATAGATTGTAAACTAATGCGCCGAATTATTAACCAATTTATGCGTTAATTCTCCGCTGTTCTCTCCCTCCAGTGCTAAGGATAACTCGCAATAGCGGCGCCCGAATCATGCCGAAGAGAAAAAGCTTGGGTTTTATACTGAAACACGGTAAATTTTTTTCCGTTTTCCGTGATTATGATTGCGGCTAGAGACAATTTCAAGAAACAATGGATGCAACATCGAGAGGTAAAACGTAACTTAAAATCCTTTCCATTCGCGTAAACGAACGAATCGTCAGCATTATAAGCGAGGAACAAATTTAATTTGCGCCTCGAATTACGCCGTCTGCAAAAATCACGGTGAGCGCAAACGAACGAACGAACGAACGAACGAACTAACGGGGATATCTACCATTAGGAATTCCCAATTCACGCTGTAATTATCGCTAATTGGACTTCGGATTATACTCGTGCGACACTTGTCGTGTGAAATGCTCGAGTCGTTCGAGACGCAAATTATGTATGCCCCATACGTAGGTATTTCTGAAAGCTACGAAGGATAATGCGGTGTCGAAAGGCTGCACGAGATCCGAAAAATTGTGATGAGAGTCAATTTTTTATACCCAATATAATCGTTCGCGCACTAATTTAAAATAGTTATTTTAAATTTTCAATAAATTAAATCTTTAGGTCGAAATTTTAAAATATTTTCTCGAAAATATGAGAGAGAGAGAGAGAGAGAGAGAGAGAGAGAGAGAATATTTTTTTTTAACTGTAAGCTAGAAAAAAGGTATGAGATGCACCACATGGTCGATTGATCGTCGGTAGCCGGAAACCTACGCTATCTCTCCCATGAGCTCGCGGCTAATACCTCGATGCCAATGCGTGATTAGTGTCCGCGGGGAAATCTACCGCGGACATGTTTGAGAGCTAATGCTCGTTTCTGCCTCAGAACCCCTGTGTGCTTTTCCGCGCCCAATACGAATGCAACTAATTTCAACGCGTTCTGAATCAATAGCATTTCTCCAAAATTGTCGATGGTCATTGCGAATAGAGATATACCTATTTCCAATTATAGTATAATTCCTTTATCGATAGTACTGGTTGCTGTCAAAACTTTCTGTTTCAGTCTCGGAACGAACTGGATTTCTTTGTGAAAATGCGGAACATGGGATCGTCTGATGATACTGACTAGTGATATTTGCAATTTTTTTTATAGGATACTACGAGATAAGAAAAGCACCAGACGAAGCGATGAATCAGTAGATTACGATGCTATATGTTCTGTGGTCTGTTAGTCGTGACAGCGGGGATAAATTAGAATAGAATAGCCGTCTTCTCTTAAAAATGGTAGAAATACTCAAGAGTACAATTTGACATAAAAAAATTTGACATTTTAAGAGAAAAGACTATGATCATGATCGAACTAACTTTCTTCTTTATTTAAATAAGTCTTTTATTTTATGAGAAAAAAAGTTTTAGAATTGAATTTATTAATTATTGCAGAGACTTATTATTGTTTCTAGAGATAAATTGATTCTATTATAATTAAAAATAAGAACAACTATAACTATGTGTGGTTACCGAGAAATAAGATAACAATCGATTTGATCCAAGTGAAATAATGCATACTCTTTCTATTGTGCGAACCTTCGGTTAGCAACAGTCGGGAATAAAAAAGAAATAAAATTTTTTTTTTTAAATTGTCTTTTAATAAAACA